TAATTCTCCTTCGATTACCATTTCTTGAGAATTTCTAATCTTTTTTCTAATATTAATTTAAATTATAAATTCGTAAACAATTTCTACTCGAAATTATCGATAAATAATATAATAAATTTTTAAACTACGGTAATATTTATAAATTATAACTAACAAAATACAGTATTTGCTAAATATGCTTGTCGTTTGTCATTTTTTGCAACAAAAATTTTATACAATTGTTTTAAATATAATTCTTTTGCTCTTAAATTAATATGTGATTTATATGAATATGTATTTAATGAATGAGTTTTGAATATTACGTTGATTTAAATTTAAAATAATTGCTAATATGTTTAAGAATCAAATCCAAACTTATTTAACAAGAAAATTAATAATTTTTATGCTGTGATTATATTATTAAATGGAAATATATTGTAATTATCATATAATTGGAATAAACTAAACAATAATTATTGTGAAGTCATTAAACTTTTCATTCAAATTTTATTTGTTTGGTATTAAATGACACACAATTTATTTAAGCGCTATTTTTACCTATTTTTACGATTTTATTTTTTACGAGAAACGATATAATCAATTGTATAGCGAGTGATATATCAATAAGGAATCGACATTAGTATTGAATTTTCAATATAAACTTAATTTACTCTAAAACTAACGAATAAATGTTGACTACAATTGTTGTTCATATCTATGAATCGATAAATCTATAAATTATCGGTAATTCGTGCCATTATTTCTCAAATCGGACTTCACTTCAACATTGATCTGTTGGTGATATACAAAGAAGACATCAATAGTTATTCAAAACATTAATTATATAAAAAGATAAATGATTACAATATTTCCGTCCAACACATGTGTCTTCTGTTTGAGAACCGCTCGGATGGCCTCGTCGTGACCAAAGTTAACGAATCCATACCTCTTAGACATACCGGTAGTCTTGTCCTGTATTGAGACAATCAAATCAATTCACGACAACATAGGTATAAAGACATGACATACAAAGGCAACGCTGTGGTAGACAATGGGTCCGTAAGCGGAGAAGTATTCAAACAGATCTCCTAAAAATCAATACAAAAAACACGGCATTAAGTGAGCGATCATTTCATGTAACCATTCAGACACTAACTGTGACCTACAGTCCACGGAAGACCCGATACATATAGATTACGGGCTGCTCTTAACGCTGACATCACTTCACCTGAAAAATAACGGATCAAATGAAATGATGACAAGTATTGCATAAGACATGTGTTGACAATGTTTACCACAATATAGTCGTCTCTCTCTCTCTCTCTCTCTCTCTCTCTCTCTATTAAATTGTGGTAATATTTAAATGATTAATGAATTTAATACCTGAAGAGTTGATCCAAAGAAATGTATGAATGCTTTGAAATGACTTAACTGTAAGCCCAAGAAGTTATGTCAATAAAAGCGGCGATATTTTGTAACTTCATATAAAACGTGAAACATATAAATAAAGTGGTCTTTAAATGCTTTCAATTATTCAATGAAAACAAGCTTTGAATCAAAAATTGATGTGTTTTTGGGTTTGTTTTATATTCGAGTAAAACATAACGTATTTTGTGTACAATTAATAAAACAGCAAAACATGTGTTTTAAAGCATTTTTGCAAAACATTTAAAACTAGAGTCAAAACACAATTGCATTGAATTTAGTGTTGAATTAAATTGTTTTCAAACAAACGATGCATTCATTGAAACAAATGGTGAAGAGATTGCCATTAGATGTGAGACTAATTAGTGGTAAACAAATGAAATGCGAGAAATGGTTGACAACAACGACCACAACACACGCGAAGAAGTCATCGGCGGTCGAGCGCTGGAAAGCCGGGCCGAAGACTGACTGGAAGTGGTGTTCAAAGCGATGTCTTTCGCATCAGGCGTTGGACTCGAAGCCAAAGCATTCAAGTAATGTCTATTTGATCCAAAAGCCAGACACTGGCGGACGACTCGTCTTCACTGATAATGAGAATCAGTTAGCCTTCAAAATCATTGAATCGCTTCTGAATGTAGATGAGATCCATTTGGATCAACAACCACTTCAGACTGAAGACTTGGCCATCGATGAGATTATGGCCAAATTCGTAGCCATTCCTCCGGAGGGATACATTGGATTTGCGCGTGAAATCAATGGTTTGGTTAAAGTGTTAAAATCACTGAATTTAAGACAATTGATGACTGTATTGGAGTCGTTGACCAAATGGTCCGTTGATCAGCCGTTTGATACCTTGTATTACAGGGTTTGGTCTAATGTGGACTTCGAGTTGGATGAGAGGCTGACAAGGGATCAGTTAAATGATAATAAAGATGTGGAGAAATACTTGTTATTTGGAAATATGTTTTATCGGCTGAAAACCGCAAACATATGTAAATTTAACGATAGTTTAGTGAAGCGCTTGAGTTCACCAGACTTTGAGTTAAATAAGACGGGAGTTCTTCACCTCTTGTTTTACTCCAATCTTCACCGAAAGGTTGATCCAAAATGTGCTAAATATATGTTGAGTCGAATGGAGTCAATGATAAATGACATGACTTTGGATCAAATGGCAGTGTTTTGTATGACTTCTTTCAAAACGGAGACTAAACTGACGGACAGTTTGTTTAAATCGGTTATCAGTCGAATGATTACCGATGTGTCCGAAGAGACCAATAATATACTGAGAACTGCTGTCACCAAATGTATCCGACATTCATATCATTACAAATTTAAGCCCGAAATCGGTCAATACGTTAACCGAATGAAGCAATTGTCCAACAATTCGGGTATGAGTTTAACTCATTTGCTTAATCTTCAATATACGGCACTCAACTACGACAAAGAGCTCATGGATCAGATATTTGACACAATGTATACCAACACAAAGGCCTTTCGTATCAAAGATATTGAGCGCATATTATTATGTTTAGCGTATTTTAATTACGAATTGGATCACAAAAAAATGCAATCCATTTGCGATACTTTACACACTAATGCCGATGAGTTTGAATCGTTTAAATATCCCATTTGTTTGTTAAATATTGTGCACTATTTAGCAATTTTACAGTTTTATCCAAAATCATTACTCCAACACTGTTTTGAACGACAATATTTGGCCAAAATATCGAGTAAGTGCTGCGGTTATGACATTCACTGTCTTTCATAGTATTGACAAATGGGATGTGGAGTAGGAATTAGTTGTCTAATTTTTACGCAAAATTTGATGTATTTTTATGTTTTATTTGACAGAATATTCAAAACTTGATTTCGAGAGGCATTTACTCGTCACAAATACCGCGCTTTCCATTGAGAAGTACGAAGAGTTTGGTGACATTCTTCTGGAGCCGGAAATGGTTTATCGCTATCACCGCATGATTCTCACGCAAGAGAAACAAACCCTCTCTCGTATCACTCAAAAACAGAAACTACTGAACACTGTATACATGGGTTTGAAGACACATTTGGGCGAAAGAGTGCAAATGTCTCACATTCTTCCCTTCAAAAGCTATCCACAAGTTGTCATTTGGAGTCCAAATCATAAGAACTTTTCGTTAACTCCCGAAACAGTACTCAAACAGAATATGTTTAACAATTGTTTCGCTATTTATGTGTTGGATATCAGAGACTATTTAGTGATCGACACACATATTAAAGGCTCGGTTCAGCTCGAGATACGACTACTCGAAGGTCTGGGCTTTAAGGTAGTGGTGATGCCTTGGCATCAGTTGACTAAATATATGCAAACTAGAGCTAAGTTTAATACCATTATGAGTGAAATACACAAATTGGATCCTAATTTTAGTTAAAAACATTTTATTTTAATAATAGTGAATTTAATAATAGTTTTATATTTAATATAATTTTGTAATGCAATTACAAATTGCTATAATTTATTTTGCGTTCAATATATACACCATTAAAGTGCAATTATTCTGTAAATGACTTTCAAAATGTGTTATCGTATGGGATGTCAATGTGTTTATGAAATGATTATCTGTAAAGTGTTATCGCGTTTATGAATGCAATGCAAACACTCTTATCTAACGTAAACTAACGAACAATAAAATATGTCTGTTTGACAAAAGATTACTAATTTATGAAATTTCTGTTTTAAGTATTATAAAATCTATTTTGCGATGCTTTGTATATTACAGTATTTATGCCATAATTAATACAATGATTTCATAATTTGTTGCATAATTTTAGTGAAATTAATTCTCTGGTAGAGCTAAGTGACTAGAAATATGTCTCATATTAATAATGATATTATTCATACTTTAAGATTCCTAAACATTACTTTCAGTTCCCCTCAACATCTGAACCCGATATTAATAAATAAATAATAATCAATCAGTAAATTAATATATTTAACAAGAACTAAAATTTTAATTAATGCATTCAATAATAATTATTGTTATTAAATAGTTTATTATAACTTTCATCGAAAAAATAAAAGTTTTCAAAAATATATTTCAGTTAAACTATTTTCTATCACTTGAATCGACTGTTTATTTGGGAAATATTTGTGGCAATAAAATAAACAATAAATTATATAATAGGGTTAACGTTAAGCCACCAAAAATAGATGACAATTTAATTAATGTAGATCTAGTCGTAAATTCCTAGTAATGAACTTTTCTCACAAAAACATATGCTTTTCTAATACAGTATTCACACGAAAAGGGCGTTTGGTTTTTGTATAGTGCGCGCAAACGTAATCACCATGATCTTCATTTGGGCCAATTAACCTAACTCTATTACAAAAGTTAGGAAGTGTAGTTAACCATGGTTAGTTTTTTTGTAAATATGTTTCGGTTCAGTTGAGGCTAACTATTGGATGGCATAAGGGGTTAGTTGTTTGGGACGTAAAGTGGAGTACACTATACAGGAGTGGGTAAAGTGTATAATAGTTTGTGTGCATAACGTAATGGCAATAGACATGACATGTAGTGAATTGTCTATTGGTTTGGTTAAAGCATATGAGAATCGGTGCGCAAAAAATACAACTCATAAAGCGATGCCATAAATGCCATTCAAATGCAACACTCAATGCAATCACTCAATACAAGCACTCGTTTACGCAAATAGTGTACAAACAGTGTATTGTTTTGTTGCCTCAAAACCAAACACCGAATCAATTAATTGTCATTTTTATACTTATATTTGAATTTTAGTTTGAATTTATCATTAATTTTTCATTAATAACATTGTGTTTGACGTTTGAGTTGTACTTAAATACCAGAAATAATAGACAGATATCAACCAAAACCATGTCATCGACGGTTTGGGCGTCCATTTGAAGTGCAATTATTGCGATATCAATACAACCAGTGATTGGATTAACGGCTCGTTTTTGGGCCCAAACTCTTGAGACCCGAATTGTGCCGGCATTTGATCGGTTGGTCGGGACCTGACGTCCGGTGTGTCTGTGGTTTGTGTCCATCGGGAGAGTGAGTGACTGAATGAGTGATATGTCATCGCGAGTGCACTCGCAGTACAGCCACGCGGGCCGTAACGG